ATTAACGCTGGCACACCTGTATCTCTGGGTGTAGCTCCCCTGCCTTCCCTAGGGACTGACAAACTGGTTTTGGCGGGTGGGGACTGGTAGGGATTGAAAGTTTGCCGGATAAAAATCGTTTATGCGGCTATCAAAATAGTGCCTTTTCGCCCGGGGGAGCTGGGCAAATAAAGCCTTTGCCCTACAAAGTCGGTCATCGGTATCTAGAACAGTTCCTTCTCGGAGCCTCGGTGAGGTGATACTGAGAAGCTTTAAAACTAGAAGGTGTGCAAGGCTCGCTCTCCTCAGCCAGGTGTCAGGTAAACCCACGTGCTCTCTCCTAACAGCGATAAAATCCTTGGCTATTCCCGCTGCCTTCTCCAATGTAGCAAAAGCGCCTTGACCAGGTACTCCCCAGGCTGGAAAAAGCCATCAGGGCTCCTTGTAAGGGCCATGATTTTAAAAAGTGCTTTCTCAGGCTGTGGGATACTGAGATGATGCTGTCTGTCTGTGCTGATGTACGAGATGCTTAGGTAGGGTTTCTCTCTGGCTTTTTCAGTTTAAACACTGCGTCAGCTCTCACTTTGCTGGTCTGTGTTGCTGTCTTAGTGGTATTTACAAGGTGGGAGTACAAAGCTTTTGGTGTGTCACATGGGAGAAGAGGTCTAGATCCACCAGACTTGACAGTAGATATCTGATTAAAACTATGATTTAAGGATGAACAGAAACTGAAATGCCAAGTATTCAAGTGTAATTCAGGCTTTTTGGGAGCTTGGATATCTTTTTGTCTTTCTTAGCAGACAAGCCAACCAAGGAAAACCCTTGGGTTTAGGCTTCTGAAGTTTCCTGCATTATTCCACAGCAGCTATTCCACAGGTGTGATTTTCAGAAAAGAGACACTTGTTGCATTATTTTTCAAAACACTCTTTTTTGCAGTGTCCTTCATGAAGGACTGTGTGTGTTGGCTACTCTGTGTTTTCTGTTGGCAGCAAGGGCTCTTGCTGTTAGGATGTAAAAACTGGTCTGGTGGCAGAAAAAAGGCCCTTCTAAGATGTTCCTCTGAGTGTTCCTGGAGGACAAAGCCTCTTTCAAGCAGCCTGGGGATTTTATTTACTCTTTGTAGTTTATTTTTCTGGATTTTTCAATGCTCTGACCCTTGTTTATAGACAAGAGCTTCCATTCGTTGGCTCTGCTGGGGAGATGGTTTGCTCTGGGAGGGTGAGAGGGCAGCAGGCGTGGCGGGGGCTGTGGGAAGGGGAAGGACAGATCTTATGAACCCTAAATATTAGTGAAGTGACTCTTTTTTAGCTTCATTGCTCTTTTAAATTTTTTTTTTCTTTAAATTGCTGTAAGTGGGAATGAAGTTGGGCTGTGGAATATTGGCTTGCTTAAATTTTGGGTGATTTGTGTTCTTCTGCTGCTTTTTGGGGCCTTGACTGAGTATGGGGTGCTGAGGCCGTTTAGTTTCCTCCCTGTTGTTGCTGTTCCTCCAGTACCTTTGTGAGTGATGAACACGCAGATTCAATTCCCCCAGATTGCTTAAAATCATCAGGAACTAAATATCAGTCTTATCCAGAAGCAGAAAGGAAATGAAAGCATTGCTGGGAGTGCTGGAGGGGACATTTGCTACAGGCCCTGTAGCTGCTGTGTCTTCCCATGTCACTTGGGGCTTTTTGAGGAACGAGGTGTCACTGTAATTTTTTCAGGCAGCTCCTTTGCTGGTGAGTGAGGCTATAATGTAATTTTCCCTGCCTGACTCAAACAATATGTGACGTTTTAAACAGAAGATGCTGTTGTTGAGTGGGTACTTTATTTAGGAAAAAATATTGTAAATACGGGGTTAAACTCACTATTTATTAAAAAATGCTTTTCCTTTTTCTTGGGAAAGCAACTTCTGTGTATGCAAAAGCCCCAGAGAAAGCCCCTGGTGTTTGCTGGTGGATACTCATTTAGTGCAAGTCGAGGCCAGTAGATTTTTCCTGTGGACACAATGTGAATTGCCCAATAGGGAGCTGTTGAGAAGGATGCAGGATGTAAACAGTGCGTATATTGGTGGGCTACCTACGTAATGCTGCGTTTCCACCCCTGGTCACAGGAAGGGAGAGCACGGTCCTGGAGAGGAGCTGCACGTGTGACAATTGCTAAGTTAGCACATCTGCTTGGTGTAAATAATAACTGATACTGGTTCAACCATATTAAAGCTTTGAAAGTTTTTTATTAAATGCTTAGAAAATTAAAAGAGAATAAAAGCAGAAATCCTGCTTGTAAGGAATGAGGATTTTAATTGTGTGCTTACGGCAGCTTTTCCCCCCATAATAATGTTTTATACTTCAAAATCTGTGTAAAACTTGGAATGCAAGTGTGAGTCTACTTGATAGGTTGCTCTGAGTGTTTTATTTGTTAGTTGATGCTTTTCAAACCCTGGCATAGCAGCGGTGCTGCTGAAGGCAGCGTGAAGCCTTCCTGCCTCCCTGTGGCATGTGCCCTTCTGCATGCCACCGTTCGCAGAGCAGTTCATTTAGGAGTTTTATTACAGCATTTTGTAGCCTTCTTCTTGGAGGGTGACATAATTTTAATGTCTAGTACCCTGAAGCCTTGATGCACTTCTGGAAAAGAGCAGAGGCGTGGTGGCTGAGGGATAGCTTTAGTCCTGTCATTTTTTGGGACGTGAGGTCGGCCACCTTGGTCCTTGGGGCAGGAAAAGCTGTATTGGGGGGAATTTGGAGGGGGAATTTTGTGAGAGTGGGTGTTTTTGTTTGGTTTTTTTTTTTTTCCTCCAAGCTGGAAAACATCTTGTTAGAAAACAAAAGGCATGGCTGAAGTTTCTTGTGCACTTAAAATGCTAGACATAGTCTTGGAGGGTGCGTGAGCAAAATGTACGTAGAAGGGGATGAAGATATATATGCATATAAATATCTCTATATGTATCTACCTATCTTGAGCTCTTAAAGTGGGAATGTATCTTGTATTTCTTCTCACAAGAACCTTTGAATCTTTAAAACTAAAGACCATCATAAATTGAATATTTTGATGAGAGAACTAGGGCTAAGACAGACATTTCTGTCTAGTCTCAATGTTCTATCTGAATGTTCTAGTCTTGAAACAACAGCTTCTGAAATTCAGATACTCCCCATCAAGCTTTAATCCCTGTGTTTTATGTCCAGTGTGGTGTTTTGGTTTTTTTTTTTTTGAATTTTCTAAACAAAGAATCTACCAGGCATACATTTAGCTTGTTAACTTTAGCATTTGCAGGAGAGTCTGAGCTGTAATATATGCTGCTTTCCAAGCAGAGTAAATGCAGTCCAGACACAAAGGGATCAGGCTTTTAGGTTTGGGGTTCTTAGGGCTTTTTGGCATATTTATTTAAAATCATAACACTAGAACTAGAAATATCCATGTACAGTCACCAATTTTATATTCTGTATTTTCTTTGTGTGGTTCTGAGACTTTTCTTGGTTGTTATATCTGTGTTTAAATATCTAAAGCAGATTTGTTTATGTTGTCATCTGCTTAAAAAGTAATTTATTACTCAAAGAATTTAATTTTTTAATGAAAAAAGCTAACACTACAAATCAACCAATTAGTAGGAAAGAACCCTACTTACAGTTTCACAGTATAAGAATATAAATGGTAAATTTGGATACCTATTATTTGTCAATCATATTTCCTCTTATGCCTTCCATACCCTGTACAATTTCTGAATTTGTCAGAGGGAGAGTTGCTCTGGATTTGATGGTGTAAAATTTTAAGTTGCTTTTTAAATAGCGTTGGTGTATTTATTTTTATGGGTGAACTTTCCTGAGATTTTTCTTTTTCAAATGACAACTTGGTGGCATTCCTCACATAATGTCCTTTGGAGTTTCTATTCTTACTGTAGGAAGTCAGTAATTTCCAGGAAGTTCTTATTTTTTTAATTATGGGTTATCTTAAAATATTTCAGTTGTTTGGCTTATGATCTTGAAACTATATAATGGGTCCATCTAGACCTTTGTCTGGGATAAACCACATGAGATCAAAAAGCTTTTCACATTTGAGAAACGTGGTGTACAAGGAGCAGACTCAGGGTTACTGCTGAAATGTTGGGTCGGAAAAGGGGAATGCTGTTTATCAGGTTGCCAAAGTGATTGATTTGAAGCTAGACTCTTCCCTGAGGATGTGCCTGGCTGTTAGAGTCAGCAGTAAAGTTTTTCCACTGCAATTTTGATGATTAAGTGTTGTGGGCTATTTTTTTTTTTTCCCCAATTCAGCATAATTCAGAGGAATGTGGCATGCTGTAGGTTTATCACCAAGTAATTTTGACTTAGACATAATTATTTGTATTGAAATATCCTTACCTTGTTAAATGAAATGCATTGCTTCTTGCTTCACTTGTCAGCTTTATCTGGCAGTGCTCAAAAAAGAGGCATAATTTCAAATATATAGTTTGGTGGGTTTTTGAAAATATTTTTTGTTTGTTTTTTCTAATTGGGTGTTTTTTTTCCCCAGTGGCAGGAAGAGTGGAGATAAAGGATATACCTGGCTCTATTTACTGAGCCTAAATACAGTAGGAGCTGATAGGATGGGACACAGAAGCTGTTGATTGCACAGTTTTAGAAACTGTGTTGTGTTAGTGGCATATAACACACAGAGGGAGGGACAGACAGACAGGCAAAGGAGCTACATTAATGCCATGATATTTGCTAGTGTATGTAATATATTGTGATCTCATCTGAGTAATAAATCACATTTCAACCAGTGATGCATGTTTCAGTTTGTTTGACTTCCAGAATGTTTCAACATTATTAAATATATTTTGGAAATAAATATAATTTTTTTTTCCAACTCAGCTGACGTCTGCCTTTGGTCTTTGAGTTGATGATTTGGGTTTTTTTTTTTTTTAATCCAGACTTCTGATTTGAGTGTTTCATTGTTTATAGTTAATTCTGAAGTGAGGAGTCACAGGTTCATGTGTACTTGCAAAATGTCATCTCTGTGTTTACTGGGAACAAGAGTAACATCTTCACTCTTCCCTTTTTCTGTTTCAGGTGATTGGAGCCCTTGTCCTCGCAGTTGGGATTTATGCAGAAGTTGAAAGACAAAAGTACAAAACTCTAGAAAGTGCCTTTCTAGCCCCAGCAATTATTTTAATACTTTTGGGCATTATAATGTTCCTTGTATCTTTTGTGGGTGTCCTGGCTTCTTTGAGAGATAATCTATGCCTTCTTCAAGCAGTAAGTGTTGGGTTTTTTATTCTTAATTTTTAAGGCTAGTTGCTTTTGCTTTTCAGCATTGCCTGAATTTAAACCCATAATTATGTCTGCATTGAAAAAATATTTTAATAAGTGGCTTTTTTTAACTAAATTTGAAACTACTTTATGGTAGCAGTCCCCTAACTCTGGTCTGTGCATGCCCCTCCATCAGAGAGCAGCAGTATTTAATTTTGCCAGTGATAGGACAGGCAAAACTCAGAGCTTGATGCTGAGAAAATAAACTTTCCAATAGGTAAGGGCTTTATGGAAAACAACCAGGAATGTGAATTATTATCAGCTGGCATGGATCTTGTGCAAACTAAGCTGTCTGGCACCATGGTGCCTGCTTTTCCCTTGGTCTGGCTGTACCGTAAGCATATGCCCTGCTTAGGGCAGTTGTGTTGGAGGAGAGGAAATAGTCCCTTGGCCAGAGGAAATGTTGAAGTCTGGCTGCAGTTCCCATCAGTTTGAGGGGATTTCCTAAAGCTGTGAACCAGCTTGATGGGACGTTGAGTGCAGAGATGAGCTGCGGTCCCTTATGTTTCTCCAAATGCTTCTTGTTTCAACCTGGAGGAAGTAACTAAAAAAAGAAGCCCCAGGTCATGCTGGTGGTGGTTGGGGTCTGTCCACCTTTGGCTGGGGAGTGCAATATAGGATGGAGAGATGTGTTACAGCATTAGCTGTGTAGCACACAGGACTTTTAAGAGAAGGACCCTAAAGGAGAAATGAAAGGGACACAAGTTTTCTCTCCAGTGCCTTGCAAAGGGGAAATTTTAGGGAAATTCCTGTGTAACACTGTGGTTGCAGGTGGAAGTTGCACATACAACTAATTAAAAGCAAAGCATAAAATCATAGTTTTCACCTTCATGTCAGTTCAGTCTAAGGAAGTGATAAATATGGGGTATGTTATGTAGGACAAAGCAAGAGGTAACTGTGGATTTTAAAATTAGGCTGAAATTTTTCTGAGAGTCTGTCCTTAGGTGGTGGCGGCTTCTCTCAGTCTGAGCGTGGTGGTGAGTCCTTATCCCATGCTGAGCACATTTTCTGTTCCTATTGTGGTAGCAAACCCAGCAAAGTATTTAAACACAGGAAGTTCCTGATGTCAGCTTCTCAGGCTAGTTCTAGATTTCTCTGGAGAAAAGAAATCTATCCAGTGAATTTGTAACATTGTTATTGGCTATTGAGAGCACAGGAGTTAAACCAGCTTTTGAGGCAGAGCATTAGAGGTTTTCAGATGAGGGATCCTAAAACTGTACTCCTGATAAAGTTCATTGTTAAGAAGCAGACCTAAATTCCCATCATAGCCATCTTTTATGTCTAAAGAATCCTTTGGGTTGGCGAAGCATTTCAAGTACGTTGAATAACGTTGCAGATATCTCATGGTGTTGCTATGGATTTCCTCATGTTATTCATATTTTGCATGCGATTTGATAAGTAGTTGCAGATGCATGTGTTGTGGTCGTGTGTGAGTGTGCATATACACACACGCATATATATCTCCACAACACTAATAAATTATAAATAGAGAGCTAGCAGATGTAATTTTTCCTACCACTGAGCATAGCAAGTCCTGTTAGTGGCCATCGCTCGGTGTCTGCACTCATCTGGTTCTGTAATGCAGTACAGCTTGGTTCCCTCTTCTGCAGCAACACACTAAAAGGCACCAAGCCCAGAATTTTGATTTGATTTGACAGTGACAATTTAGCAGGAGGTGGTCTGGATTATCTTAAAGCACTGCTTTACCCAAAAAAATGAAAGCTAACAGGTAGAATCACAGACAGGTTTGGGTTGGAAGGGACCTTTAAAGGGCAGGTAGTCCAACCCCAGGTGAGTACTGGTCTTGTAGGCAGCATAAAACCATAGTTTGATGTGCTTCATAGCTATCCATTAATATGCTTCTCTGGGATGCTGTTATGGAGAAAAGTATCTTGGCATGATAAATACATCTGTTGGTTTTGAGTCGCTTCAAAGCAGAAAAATAATGTGTTTGCCAGTTGGGCAAAATCCAGAATGACTCAAGTAAGGACAAATGGCTTTTTTTGTGACATGAACAGTTCAATAAGAAAAATCCCATAATTTTATATATTGCTTTAAAAGAACATCTCATGGATAAAGGCCAAAGTACATTGGCAATTGAATGTTACAGACTTAAAGACACTAATGGCAAGAGTAAATGGGGTTTGTTCTGTTCAAGGACTCACATGCAATTGTTTTTCTGCAGTTCATGTACATTCTTGGTATCTGCTTGCTGATTGAGCTGACTGGCGGGGTGGTGGCCCTGATCTTCAGAAACCAGGTGAGCTACTTGCATTTAGGGTTTGATCACCAAGAACCTTGCTCCCAATCCACCATGTTACAGCTATGCTACTGAGCAGGTAAAAGGTGTCACAGTTGTCACATGGGTGCTAATGGATGCAGGTCTGAAGGCAGGTCCAGACTTTTCAGGGCCTTTTAGGTTTGAAGCTAGGTGGGATTGGCCACCCATTGTGGAGATGAATCCCAAGTTGAAGAATTTGGAGAAAATCTGGTGACTAAGAATGTACAACATGGGCAAAAAGAGTTTCCAGCTCTTCATGTATTACAAAGTGCTGTCTTCTGATTTGCCATCTGGGTCTAAGATTGCTGGTTTGGGAAATTTCCAGGTGGATTTGGAGACTTTATTTTTCACTGACCAAAATGTTTTACCTTACCTAAAGGACAGCTCTTCATAACCCCCTTATTTTTTCCTGAACAGAAAGCAGCAGAGTATTTTGTGCTGTTAGAAATGCTTTCACACATAAACGTACTCGCTATGGCAAATACTAGATTTCTATGCTTTGATTTTTTTTTTTTTTTCCTAATCTGGCAAAATATAAGCATTAAAAGGAGATGCTGAATAATGAGACCTTTTCCCACCTCAGTCTTACCAATCTCATTTCCACAAAAAGAAGTCATGCATATCATGTTACAAATGAACAACCCATTGTTACTTTCAAGTAATTTTATATTCTCTCCTGCTCGTGTTTTCTCCATGCTGGATCAGAGTTGGGAACTTCATTTACAAGAGCAGAGGATGAGTTCTCTTCCTTTCTAGAAGCGGTCGTTAGCTTTTGCCGTTGCCTTGGCACCCTGCAAGGATTTATTTGGAACTGTGGTGGGAGCACCAGGCTCATCCAAAGGGAGCAGATCAGCCTGACCCGTGTAGGAGTATGGGCATCACGGGATGCAGGGAATGTGGCTGACAGAAAATTAAGTAAATGCCAAAGATGGTATTTGCTGAGAGGGCGAGGAAAATTGCTGTTGACGTTTGGACAAAGAAAATGCCTTGTTAGGGGTTTTGTGCAGTAAGTGTTTTCCCAGCCCAGTCTATTGGCTGTCTGAGCAGGACAGCTACGTGCAGGGACAAGTTTCTTCACTTGTTTTCTGAGGTTAATGAAGAAGCTGGGTTAGTATGGGGAGGAGAAGGAAGTATTTAATAAAAGCTTAGGGTAATAGCCTCTGTTTAAATGCTGATTGTTTTGCATGTGTTATGGATTTTTCCTGTTTCTTTCTCTATTTCCTTCTCAAAGCTGTTTGGTCTAAGTCAGGTGAAACGGGTAGAGTGAGAGTTGTTGATAATTGCTGCTGTTCTCTCTTGGCCATTTAAGATAGTCCTGGAAAATCCAATGTTATTTCTAATCACCCATGTGATAATTTTTTTGTTCTGTTTTGGGTTTAAGTGTTGCAGTTTGTAATACTGATAAAATGGGTGGATGTATTCAGGTTTCTTTCTGACCTGGATTGAAAGAAAAGTTGTTAAATTCTGGTTATGATCAATCCCAGCTTTTGCCATACTGTGATTGTACTGATATTGAAAACAAAATACTCTTCCTCCCCCATCTTCTGAACTTCAAGAACATTTTGTTATTTTAATTTTTAATATGCCAAGATGGGGGGATACCATTTTATATTGGCCACTGCTCCACTGCTGTGTTTCTCAAAACCACCACTGTAAAACAGACAGATACACTTTTTTTTTTTCTGCTTAAGGTGGAATAAAGCTCTTTATCTGGCAATCACAATAAAAAGGTGAAAATAAAATTAATGGAAAATAAAATTGATGGAAGATGGTGAGCAGGGACACAGTCAGCTCTCATCACCCGTGGCATGGTGCAGATCATGATGCCAAGACCCAGCACCCCAATCTGCTGTTCTGTCACCCAAAAGATGACGAGGGTCTCCAGTGGCCAGTGTGAGGGATCCTGCCCAGGGATAACAGGACTGTCTCTGGGAGATGCTTGGAGAGTCCCAATGGAGCAGCACCTTGCTGGAGAGGTGTTCCACTGTTTGCCCTTCTCAGCACAAAACTAGCAGTGGGGCAGCTTCCTTCAAAGTGAACGGATGGTCAGTCCCTGCCCAACTGTGCTGTGATTTGTTGTCAGCTGGTATTTGTTTCTGCTTTAAAAAAAAAACCCAAACTTTTCTCTTGTGCTCATCAATTAGCACTTGTCACTTTAACCTGCTCTTTTAGTTTTGTTTCAGTGTGTGCAACCTGTGAATCTTGTTTTACTTTTGCTTTCTAGACAATCAACTTTTTGAATGATAATATTAGAAGAGGAATTGAGAATTACTATGATGATTTAGACTTCAAGAATATAATGGATTCTGTTCAGAAGAAGGTTTGCATTCATTTATTTATTTATTTTTTT